AAAAAAGTAAATCAGAGCTAAAAAAGTGTAAAAACGCAGGCAAATTTGCCTGTATTCTACTACAATCTAAGGGATAAGCTTAATAAAAGGAAAAACAAGCTGCTAAAATAAAGTTGAAACTAGAATTAGGCTAAAGCAAGAAACTTCAAGAGCAAAGAAAAAATTTGACAAAAACAATATAACAAAACAATATTAAAGATACTAGTATAATAGTTCAAAGAATCTGTTGAAGCTATCACAGCAAACCAACATAAAAAAAAGAAAAAAAAACCAAAAAAAAAGAATCAAGAGGCAAGATATTATAAGCTTCACAGAAATAAAGACTCTAAACAAGATTCAAAAAGAAACAAGATCTGAAATCATAATAACAACTCTAATAAAATAGATGATAGATATAATATATCAAGCAAGCATTGAAGACTTACAGAATAATAGCAAAAAATAGAAAAGAAGAAAAAAGATTTTTTTATAAAATAGATATATTGGTCAAAGATCTAATGGTATATAGATATAAATTTAATTTAAAACATACTAACAGAAAAACTAAAGGAAGTTAAAAATTAGAAAAAGAAAAAAAAAGAATATAGTATTAGAGATCTTGGAAAGAATCTTAGAAGAACTATTCAGAAATTAAAAAATCTTCATCAAAATACAAGAGAAACTTCTAAGAAAAAAATCAGATTTTTAAAAAAAAGAAAAAGAAAAATGAAGATGCTCAAATCCAAAATATAAAAAAAAGAAGTCTCGAATAGACTAATTAAGGTCCAAAAATTAAAAAACTAAAAAAACTCAAAACAATTAGAAAAAAAAAGATTTACAGAAAAATACTCCTAGAAAAGACTTTTAGAACAAGCTTCCTAGAAAAAGAAAAGAAATATGAAGCTATAAAATAGAAAGCAAATTGCAAAGAAAAGGATATAAAAAGACTTCTAAGAGCTAACTAAGACTTTGATTAAAAAGAACAAACTGAACTAGAAGAAGAGAAAACAGAAATGCAAATTTAATTGAAATAATTTCACAATATCATTTCAGTAAAGGATAAGATGAAATTGTTTATTAATAGAAAATTAGAGTTAGATTATTGTTTTAAAGAGAATAATAAAGTAGAAAAAAGAAATTGCTTATTAAATATAGTTAGAAATTCTTTTAATTTGTAACTATCATATTATAGTTTTACTGGCTAGCTTGGTGCAACCTCTGGTATAGGCAATAGCCTTAACCAATGAGGCAGACTACACTTGAGTATCCATAGAGAAAGCTAAATAATGTTGAATCTATAATTTAGATAGTTTAAGATGTTTTGTACATTTGCTTTGATCTAATAAAGATACCGGTAAGACTGCCAATATTGAAAAAAAAAACAAACTTTAATTATATAAAATAAAATAAAAAATAATAAATAATAAAAAGTTTCTTCTATCTGACAGTAATAATAAAAAAGTGAAATTAAAGATAAAAATATGAAAAACAAAAAATATTACAAACCTTTGAAAGAGTAAATATATTTACAAACCTAAATTATAATTGTGTAATTGCACAAATTTTACTATTAAATATAATATTCTTTAAACAACTAAAAACAAAAACCTATATATCTTTTTCTATAGTTAGTTATAATTCAGAAGAATCTGTAATTGTTAAAGATCCTCATGTGAAATCTTCAACAAGTTATGCCCCACTTCCAGGTTTCTAAAAGAAATTTTTAACAAGTCATGCTCCACTTCCAGGTTCCTAGAAAGAAACTTATATATAAGCAATGTTATTGCTACTCACCTTAAACTCGAAACTCGCTCATTTTTATACTATTCGTTCACTAGATCTAAAAAAACAGTGATGTAACAGTAATTACATTAACAAAATTCGACGACAAAATTTTTTTTCTCTGTAAAGCAACTACAGAATCTATTTCGTTGTATTGTTAGTTTTTGATGATCGCTTTAAGTAGGACTATGTAGATATTTCCCTAAAACTCGAAGTTTGATATTTAACATTAATAATTTTTCTTCCTTTATCGTTATAATCTTTTTTAAGTCTCATTCGTGTATGTTCTTATCGCAAAGGTCATATATAATAGGAAAGGTTCATAGATAACATTCATTCTAACAAAAATCGACGCAAAATTACCATAATTTTTTGGTAAACTTGATTTCATGTAATTTGTAAGAAACGTGATCATTTAATGACTTAAAAAATTTCGCTGTTAAGTTAAAGTTAGGTTTGTTATTAAGTTAGACTAGAAAGAATCAAAATTTCGCAAGAAAACTTTTTGTTAGTGCGCAGAAAGCAGTTTCATAGGTAAAATGTTGAGCCATGAACGGTTTTTTTATGAAATTTTTGCACCCAGAAAATGTGTACCAGGTTGGGATAGGATGATCGTTCGGATTATGGACCGGAAATTAAGTCTTCGATTATTATCGTTATTTGTTTTTTTTTTCTAAACGGTAAGACTTTATTTTTCAAGTAAATAACGATCATATAAAGCAATATTTAACGCAATTTACAATGCATATACAACACAACAAATAATTTGAAATTTGTTTAATCATTTGGCTTTAGTTAATTGGTTTAACCATTTGGTTTGTTTTTTTTTGTAACGTTCTTCAATAAATTATGTACAGTCGACTCTAAATATAGTGAATTCAAAATTTCATAATAGTTCGGTATAAAAAGTGCCATGTGTGTTGTTAATAAAATAGAGTAATTTTCTATAACGAACATTTTTTTTTTCTTCCAGAATCTTTTCTTTATAGAAAGAGTTGACTGCACTCTTTTTGTGGTTAATCTTTTATTATACTTCTTTATCTTAGATTAATATTTTTTTTCTGTACACTTTTTTAAATTGATGCGGCAGAACTCTAATTTTTAACCTACTTCGACTGTGATAAGGAATCTTGTCAAAAAAGATAAGGCCCATCATTAAATATTTAGATTTTTCATATCCTTTTTCGAAATATTCCATGCAGTTAAATTAATTAATATCACCAACGACACGTTTAAAAAAACTATTCAACAGGTATTATATGCTTATTTAGATCTTTATCGCTATGTAATTTTTAAATAAATTTTGAATTATGAATAAAATACAAACATACAATGCAATTTTCAATCTGATACTTATAAACTAACAGAAATATTTGCTGAAATAGGAGGTTCGATATATTCAAAGTTTATTTTGTTCACAATATTAAAAACTTGTCTGTAAGTTTTTTTTTTTTTTTGCAGGAAGAAAAGACATATTACGTTAAGCTAATACTAATGACAATATCGATTATTAACTTTTTATGTAATGTTTGATGCAAATACATAATTTTGGTTTCTTATCATTTCGACCTATATTTCCGGACGATCATTTGATCCCAACCTGATACACATTTTCTGGGTGCTAAAAAAATATATAAAAACTAAAAATAATTATCTATTTTTTTTAAAAAATCACATTGTCATAAAATTCATTTAAAGAAATGATTTTTTTTTGTACGATAATAAAAAAATACTTAAAAATTTTTTAAATAATATTTGATAACTCTATCGTTAATACTAACTACAGTTAGACACTCCCTAAATGCAACCCCTAAATGCAACACCTCTTTAAATGCAACTTTTAATTCTGGCCCAAATATATACTAAAACTTCCATAAATGCAATTTCCTTATTGTTCTTTAAATGCAAACTCACAAAATTCTGATCCCTACGAATTGCATTTAAGGGGTTTGACCGTAAACCTAGTCGACAGCAACTTGGAGAAAAATTACATAGTAAATTCGAAAATTAGTAATATCTTGAAAAAAAAAATTGAAAAAAAAAAATTTTTTTTTATGTAATTATATATGTACGTAGGTGTTATGATTATAATTATAGAGGTGTTATTTTATAACTTGCAAAGATGAATTTTTAAATAAATGTAAGGTCAAATAATCAATCATAACGTTTGTGTAATTGTTAAACTCTTTCACTTATATATGAGGCGTACATGCCTGAATTATGGAAATTTTCAAAAAGATGGATTGGTTATTTTTCGTGAGTAGTGTTACCGAATGAGCATTATCCAAACATATATGATGAAGATATTTTTCTGCATGTAAAAAATAAATAAAACCACATTTAATAAATGTATGGATGTTCCTTTTTTGGAGGCAAAAAAAACAAAGTTCTCCAAGGAAAAATAAAATTTCTTATCCGAAAGAAAGAGAACTTTGTTAATTTTTTTTTTTTTTCTTTTTCAGTTTTTACTTGTACCCAATGAGCACGCATCAACATTCAATACTTGAAAATGTTTCGGCTACAAACACGTCTCATTCAAAGGTTACATTAAAACCTCTTCCTACAACTTCAAGATTATCAACCAATTCAGCAGAAACAGTTGAAAACATTTCTTTAGAAGGAGATGAGACAGACCAAACAAAATTAATAAAGGAAAAGAATAGAGTACCGATACAAGCAGCTAAAGTTGGTATACAGTCATCAACATCCTCAATAACGGACCAGGAAGAGTCATGTGATCGTAAAAATTCCAAGTCGTTGTTAGGGAGGTCACTTTCTTTTCTAAATCGTAAAGAAGAACGACAGTCACAGTTAGTAAAAATACATAAATATACAATTTATGATAATGAAAAAGAAGAATTTATCGAAATTGTAGAAGAAGAATGGGAAGGAGATGGACCACCACCACGACAATCCATAACTTCACAACATAAAAGTATTGTTTTTGTTGATAAAGATTTACCAAGTTTACCAGAACCAATTCCCAAGAAAGAAGAAAATAAATTTATAAAATTTTATAGATGGGCCGAAAAGAAATGGCTTCAAAACAAAAAAAGAAATATAATCACTTTAGGAGTTACTTTATTTTTATTTTTTATTCTTATCATCCTTGCCGCTGCTGGAGTTTTCTCGAATCATGGAAATAATAATAATGGTCAAGGAAATGCTGATAATCATAGCATTAAATATGTAGCTTCTTCCAATCATGGCTCTTAATGTAGTATGTAACCGCATTTCTTTTTAATAACTTTCGGATTTCATTCTCTTTAACTAAAATTGGGACAATAACTAAAATCGAGGTATTATAATTACTCAAGGCTTTTTTATCATAGAACCTCAAAAAAAACGAGTTAAGTTTAAAAAAGAAGTATTACATATTACTTTGATTCTTGATCAAATATTTAAATTTTTATATAATTATCTTATTTAATGATTATTACTATTATTATTATTATTATTATCAATTATTATACGTATCATCTTTTTTTTTAATTAAACTGTTTAGGAATCTTTCTTTATACCGCATACACCAAGAATTTTATTCTGTAGATTATTCTTTTTGCTTAAAGCTAATGTATAATATTTAAATTTTTGTATACGAGATAGATATCGATATACATCTCAGTTTTATCAGTATTAGAAAAAAAAAAAAAAAAAAAAAAAAAAATAGTATACAATAGTGTAAAGCAAGTAGTATATGCCATAAAGAAAAAAAAATAATAATATAAAATGAACAAAAAAAAATCGACTACCGTCTTACATTCATCTTTTAATCAGTTATAAAAATAAGAGTGAAAAGAATTTTTCCAATCGTTAAGATCGATTCAATTGTCTTTATGATTTTAGGCCGTACAAACTTAATAAATTTGGTTCTCATAACCCGGCCGGGTCAAATTCTTAAAAAATTTTTTGACTATATTTACTATCTGGGTGAAGTTTTTTAAAAGTCTATGAAAATTTTATATACTTTTTTATATATAAAATTTTTGGAAAATAAAATTAAGAGCCGGGTTGCCGGGTCATTTTTCAAATTTTATTGTTATGAGAACCAAAAAAATTAACTTTGTATATTGTTATCAGGTTGTTTGATTGCTGATTTTATACAATAATTCGATGTATCAGATATAGAAGAAACTCCATACACATCGAAGTATGCTGATTCACAAGGTGCAGAAGTTGGTGAGTTCCCTTGTGAACAACAAGTAGGAAATGTAGTAGTCTTCAAGGGAATTTGAATGTTTTGGGATGAAGGTTGTTCATTTACAATTTGGTTTGTGGATGAGAGAATAGTAGTGTCGGAATCTTTAAGCGTTTCATGGTTTAATTCTTTGCATTCATCAATGCATATTACAGAATTCTCTTTCTCAGTGGACATATCAACCTTTGTTCAACGTTTAAATTGAGGAAGAAAAAAATGACCAAATTCATACTCTATTGATTGCATATTTATAATTTAAATTGTGAGACAAATTTGGTCACAAAGTCCTATTACCGTATCGTTATTGTTATAACGATAAAAGTATTATTTATTTCCTTAGATGTTGAAAATGTCTTCCGGTAGCATGTATGAGGCGTAAAGCGCCTCATACATGTGCCGTTGAGGAGGTGTTTCAATTATTTGCCGACATAGCGATACGTAGCGATAGTGAAATAAATTTGTCGTTTAAGTTACCCTGCACGCACGCGAGTAATACAGACCCTAAAAAGGAAATGGCCAATCGGAGTGCACAAAATTTAACTGTTCCGGTGCGAAATAAGAAAAAAGCGAAAATACTCAAAAACTAGTGTTTAAATCGACCTTGGTGCAACAATTTATTGTTATAGCCTCTAATGTTATATCTCTACGCACTTGGTTTATTTACAAAATTCGATTTCCTTTTTTGCGGGTCGGTTAAAGCGGAGCGAGGTTTAGAGTTACCTTTTTGATGCGGTTAAGGTTAAGGGTTATATAGATATCAAGAATACAACATATGCAGGTATGTAGATCATATATTGAATTCGCTCCGCTTTAACCGACCCTTTTTTGGTTTGCTACTCGCGCAAATAAGTAAACTACCGGTTAGTGATCTAAAGGAAAATTTTTAATCAACTAATCGTTGATTGACTCTACATAATAAAATTTAAATGTTAAATGTCTTTAACCAATCAAATTGATACAAAAAAACATGTGATTATTTATTTGACCAATTAAATTTATCAAAAACATGTGACAATTAGCTATAACTAATCGATTTGAAAAACGAGTATGTATATAGCAAATATGTAATGTATAGTTAAAAAAATATGTATGTATAGTTCATAAAAGAAATTCTTTAAGAAATTCTACGTAATTATAAACTATTCTAAACCTAACATGAAAAAAGTAGTTAGGATGTAACTATATTGACTTAGTTCGGGACTCAAACCGTTATCGTTTGAGCCAAAACCGGTTGAACTAGCTAGTTTATCGTTTGTTGACACGTAATAAAACTATAAATGTTACATATGAGCTAATTTGTAACTGTATATAAATTTATAAAGTTATTAATAAAAAATACTATCACGTATTATCATGTATAAAAGAAACTTTAATTTTTAGCCAATCAAAATCCATGCTGATTAATCGAAATAGTCTAATAATTCCAATTAACTAGTTTCAATAAACTGTTTATGTGAATTTTATAACCAGTTTAATGTAACTAGTTAAAATCGGTTCAGTTTGTAACTGATATAGCTAGTTTTTAACGGTTTAACATCCCTATTAGCATATTAGCATATTAGCACTCACCCTAACTATTAAAAAAGGTTAACTTATCAAAGATAAATTTTATATGCTACGCTCCGGACACTCAATTTTTTACACAATATGTGATACAAAAGTTGCTTTGTTGATGCATTTTTTGACCATGAAAAATTCTTTTTTGATACATCAGTATAGTTATCATAAACAAATATGTCAATATCGTAATTTTGCCTGTCCGCACGCGTGATTGCATGTCATTGATTAGTAAATACGGTGATACAGAAACATTCGTATAATTGGCTGATTTAAATCAATTGCCCGGGAACTTATTTATACACTTTAGAGTAATTACAGCTGTTCTCATAAATTCCGGGAAGACAGATAAGCCGAATTCGATAAGTTTTGAATTCGGTATTTATCGATATTAAAATTTTCAGCATTACAGTAATTCCGATAACACAGAATTCAAAACTTATTGAATTCGGCTGAATGATAAGTTTTGAATTCGGTATTTATCGATATTAAATTTTTCGGCATTACAGTAATTCCGATAACACAGAATTCAAAACTTATTGAATTCGGCTGAATGATCATCGGTTAATTTTTTTTACCGTTGTCCCAAGAATTTATGAGAACAGCTGTAATTTATAATTTATTTTACGTTTCGGACTTACATCGGTTCCCGATTCCTAGTCATACATACTTTCGTAAATTTTCTTAGCTTACATCTATACAAACAATAGTATACTTTACTTACATGCTAGCTTATACAATACATATTTCTGTAATACCCGGCAAGGACGTACAGTACATACCTGATACGTACGTACGTACGTACGTAACAAAAGTGCTTATTTTATACTAATACCAGAGAGAGCCGATTTCTTTTTTAATTTACTCTGAATTAACTCTTTAACAAAGATTTATATAGCAGTTAGTCTAGTTATATTGTAGATTGGCCAATTTCAAGATTAGATATTGCGTTAAAATCGAAATGATTACACTAGTGAAAAGAGACATATCTCAAAAATGGCAAGTTACCAGTAAACTTTGTCCGGGCCATTTTGTCTTATGCTGGCAGAAATTAATACGTAGTAATCTGGTAACTTACATACGTACGTACATACCACTAAATTTATTAACTTAACCCCATTAACAACCCTGGGTGATGTAGTTTTAAATGTTGTTTAACAAATTATGAACATTTTATGCAGGAAATACCTAAAGATGATTTAAAATATGCATTATGCGTAATCCCTTAACTGTCACACTGTTATTGTGAGGTTTGAAAGATAGATTACAATATAATTTGATGGAACACAGGCAAAATTTGCCTGCAAGACGGTTTAGGATATACGTAACATTTAATGTTAGTTACGATATCTGATATGCTGATTATTTAATACGTGTAAATACAAACAATTCATTTTATCATCAGGCAAACCATATGATTTTAATAAAGCGCATTAAAACAATTTATCGAAAAATCAAGCTGATATATATCTTTAAAAAGAAAAGAAAATGATTAAATCAATATCCTTTTATAAAACTGTCTTGAATTATCGTTTATGGCCAATGTTTCTTTGTTTGAATAGTGCATAGCAACAAAACAGATGAGGAGTCAATGCGTTATTATATTAATGTTAAATAATTTTAACGACTTATTCTTTGGTTCTTTCATTTCCTTTTGAAGAAATATACTCAAGACAAGCACCTGTAGTTTTATCTGATATTTGTCCTGCAGAATGCTCGGTAATCGAACCTGCTACATGTCTAATCCAACCCGATGATTGTCCTGCAGAATGCTCGGTAATCGAACCTGCTACATGTCTAATCAAGAATGCCTGGTAATCGAGCCTGCTACATGTCTAATCAAGAATGCCTGGTAATCGAGCCTGCTACATGCCCAATTCAATCCGCTACTTGCCCGATTTTTCCAGAAGGATGCTCTAAACCAAAAATTGTCACAGGATTTTGTTTAACTAATAATGAATTTCAATTAAGTTCAGAAGAATTACATGAGTTAGAAGAACTTGATGAACAAAAGTAGCAAGTTGAAAGACTCAAGCAAAATGAAAATAGTTTTAACGTAATTCTTCGCCGAGAACCTTTATTTGCAGATATCGCTGATGATGTAGAATCAAGTAAAATGTATGGAAGTAAGTTTATTTAATAATAGAAAATTCATAACAAAAAAAAAAAAAAAAAAAATTTAGTATTAAAAAAAACTTTTAATAAATAAATAAAATTTAATAAAGGTAACAACGAACAGAATTTTGGTAGTTGTTGTAACATACAAGAAGATCAAGAAACGAATTTCATACACGCAGGTACACCTATAAATACGGTAGACAAAGATATAATTAAGGAACAATTAGGAGCGAGATGTGGGCCAGCTCGAGAAAATATAGTAATTGGGACAGCAGAACCAATTGAAGAGTTATTAAAACGAAGGAGAATAAGAAAATTTTTCTTAATAAGGCGACAAATAATTAAGACTCCTTGCATATATGCAGAAAATTGTAAATTTAGAACATGAAAAAGGAAAAGCTCATGAGTATCAAAAAGATTATGAAGACATGTCAGGATGTCAAACTGAAGGGTTCTCCAATTGTGACACAGAAACAGGATTAAAGTATGGGTGTTAGCGCTAACGTTAAATATTATAATACAGAAATTAATAATATATAATTATTATATTTATATACCAGATACATCAACGTAAAATTAGTGTTAGTTTATACGATTTACATTTGTTACATTTACATTTGTATTATCTGTTATGATAAACCTTTGAAGATTATTATGTAAGAGAATGATAAAAATATAGGAATCGATATACTATATATGACTTAAAGGAAAATAAAAATAGCATATACGAACGATCTAAAGGGAATATGGAAAAAAAGATAAAATCTGATACGTCAAAAATTGAAGTCAGAAACATGTATCAGAATTATTCGAAATTAAAGATTAAAATATTTCAAATTAAGTATTTCAAGTATTTCCGAGGGAACTTTCGTACTTCTTATTGGTTTATTAGTATTTTAAATTAAGGTTTCTAATCATTTAAATTAAGGTTTCTTATCATTTATCTGATCATTTACATTATTGTTCATATTGGGGATTCTTGTAATCCAAGGGAGTTTCCTATCATTTATATTAGGGTTTCTTGTCATTTAAAGTTTTTATATATTTTAGAATCTAATTAAGAATGTTAAATTCATAGAATATGTATGTAGAATGGGTAATCGATTCAGTCGGTCTCGACTCTGAAACGAACTATTTTATTGGTTGTTTCGTTTAGGATCTAGATCTTTAAAACCTTAGATGTACGTACATATGTACGTACACATGTACATATAAAATAGTCCAGACCGATCCGGCCAAGGGGCCGATGGTTCATAGGCTTGGTCGATCAGTTTCGAATATCCAGTGATGGTAAAAAAAATTGACAAATTTGGTAAAAAGTCTAGAATATTTCAACGGCATTTCAGTTTTTCAGTTGGATAATAAATTCACCGAATGGATAGAATGGGAATACAATTTAAACATGGGTCCACAATACTATAATTGCTATAATTGCCATGTGGGTGCAAGCATAAGTAACAAACAAATATGTTTAACGATAAGGGGACTAATAAAGTTACTAATATCTATCCGAATACGTATTAATATATTAAAAATGGATGTTAAAGCTCGAATAGATTAGTTTCACTTTTTTGTCTTGCTGAAGTTTGATCCTTGCTTGAATGTGCTTAAAGTGCTTAAAGTGCCTAAAGTGCTTGTAGAAAATGATAAACGGTTCATCATAATGATTAATTAATACACAGTTTCATAACTCCGGAATTATTACGTCAATGAAAGAATATCAATGACTAATATTTTATTATTATACATTACAGTAAACCTAGTCAATCCGCAGGAAAAATGCAGTAACAACAAATTTAAATTATACCGCAGAAACTTTCGGAGTCTAGTGTTGTCCAGAAACTATACATGTGTATTTGTTGTACATTAATGTTTACATTTTACTATTATTCATATATGTATAATTTATTTTTTTCATACCATGGACTGCGTGAACCTGCGTCTAGCCCTTCTTTTATTTTTCTTTATTCCCTTACAATAATTACAATAATTACAATAATAACAATTAATAAAAAATGACATAATTAACCTATCCAAATAAAGCATTTCGGTTCAATTTTGTAACCGAATCATCATTGATGAAGATCTTTGATACGTATCAGCATTACATTAATTAAATATTAGATATATATTATTAATAATATAATAAAAAAAAAAAAAAACTATTTATACATAACTTCCCGCGAGATTTCTTTTTTTTTAGCTGCATATCAAAAAATATCTTTTTTTTATCATTTTACTACTAACTCCTAACTCATTTTTCATTAAAATATTTTTATAAATTCAATAAAGTCATTGTTTAAAATTATACTTATATTAGAAGTATATTAGAAGTATATTAGAAGTATATTAGAAGAATGTCACTTGATTATACTTTTACTCAACACTCGAGTATACATTTTCCATCATTTCAAAAAAATTCTTTATCAACTCCACCGCAAGTAATGATCCGTGAAGATATTCCTTTATTTAAAGAAGAATGGATAGATGACCAAACTCATTATTCAAATACCACTTCTATACTACCTTCATCCTCTACCGAATTTTCTATTTCTACAAACGAGGATCCTAAAATGCTTCAAATACATTTATTAGGTTCTTCAAATAGCAGTATGAGTCGTGATGACCTTACTCCTCAACTTAGTACTGATGAGTTCTCACGGTCCACTTCCATGGATTCTTCTGTCTCAAATTCTCTTCATCCTTCTAAATCCACTCCCCCTCAATTTATCTTTAAAAAACCTTCTCAAAGAAAATCAACTTTATTTGGTGAATTGAAACGTGCCTTTAA